ACCGTAACCAAATTCCAAGTGAAACATTGAAGTAGATCAATTTATGTATCAAAATGTGACAAGAAATCATATTCCGTCTAAACTCTCTGAAATCTCTGTAGTCTCTAATCTAGTAAAATAATATCATATATTTTTGTTATTTTGGGATTGCTCAGGTTAAAAAAAGTTCTGAAAGCATTTTTTTAAACAAAAAATTAGAAAAAAAAATCTTCCACAAAAATTTTTGAATCTAGCGTAAGTTAGAAAAACATTTTTTTTTTTGAAAATCTGAAATTTTTCAGTTTTCAAAGGTCCTCTTCAGAGAATTTTTCAGATCCTAAAAAGTTTTTTTTCTAGTTTGAATAAATTCATGTTAGATTATTTTAATAAATAAAACTTGCCTGCTCTGAAAAATCTCAAAAACCACATTCCATTTGTTGAACCATATCATTAAGCTAACAATAATTATTCAATCTACGAAGTTGAGAAAATCAGAGAGTAAAATAATGATACTAAAAAGATGACTGACATTTCAAAGTCATTTTTCACTCTGGTCTGAAAAAGTGATTGCTTGGACAAAAGGGGATAAACTTCATCGAGGAAAAAAAGGAGAAAAGCAGCCGAAAATCAGATCTCGGTTCTTTTCAACGTTAGTGTGTCCAAGTTTGTGCATCAACGTCGTTTCTAACTTCTTTTTTTTCCTTTCTTTCGTTCTTTCTTTTCTCCTTCACTTCATCGTCTTCGTTTTTTCTCACACGTCATAACATCGCATCACTTCGTCTTTGAAATTTCCTCTTTTTTCCTTATCCCAATTTCACTCACTTTTTTTTGCGCTCGACAAATTTGTGACTTCTATCTAGCTATCTATCTATCTAGTTATGAATAGACAACGACCAAATAATTAGGGACAGCATTGAGAAGACCGAATAAAAAACAGAATGAAAAGAGAAAGAGAAATAATTTTGTGAAAATGATTGAACAATTTAAGGGTTATAAGGAAGTCATATGAGTTTTTCGGAGAATGGGAGGAGCCTGTCACAAATGACGAATTTATTCTAATGAGTTGAGATGACATGACATTTTTTTTCTCTGACTTTTCTATAACTTTTTCAAGAAACTGAACTTCTTGATTGAATAAATGCTTCTCTTGAAAAAAACGAACGAAGAAAAAATGCTTTTTGAACTCATTAAGAAACCAATTTTAATCAAAGAGTTTTGGAACCGTTTTTTGGAACAGAGGAACTTAATTGAAAATGTTGTTCTTGAGAAGAAAAGCAAACGAAAAAAATTTTGATGTCTGAACTTCAAGTTCTGGAACATTTTTTTTGAAATTTCAGATTCTGATTATCAAGAAAAGTTGATTCGGTTGTTAGAAAAACTTTGAATTTGGTCTGAAAATCAGGAAAAACTTATTAGTCAAAATGAGATCACTGAAAGGGAATCAGGCCAGGTTTCATTTTTTTTTCAAACAAAAATTAGATTCGATTTTTCGACTTGAAGAAAGGCTAATGTACTAATAAAACTAGTTAAAAATTTTGAGAAAATTAAAAGTTAAACAAATTTTTAACCAATTCAGATCATGTTTGTGAAGACTTTACAAAAAAGATCACTAAACACATCAGAAAACTATTGACATAGAAAATAAAGTTTTTCAGATCTATGCTACAAATCGTCCTTGTTTCTTTCAGACCACCCATGACGTCAAAATCCGTATCAATCTTCAAAGCTTAGTTATTCCACAATGTGGAGACCACATCCCTCACTGCTTTTCCAAACAAAAAACCTTTGATTACATTTTTCAATCAGTGAATCATCAAAACCAAATCAATGTCATAGATCATCTCATTTCCTTGAAACAAGATCCGCTTCCTGTTATTCTCAATAGTTTCTGGATTTTGAACTTTTCATCATCTTCATCATATGAATATATAATGTAAACAACTCACGAGACAAGAACATCACGTAATATATTTCCGAATCATCATCAAAAAAAAGGAAAACGAGAAGAGAGAAAAACATTTTCATGTATGATGGCCAATTATTGTGTTTGTTATTCATATATTGAAGGTTTATGATCATGGTTTCTCTTCAAGATTGCTCATATTTGACAATGATTCGAATTGAGAAGTAATTCCGTATTGAATCTTCAAGATATATTTTCGGAATTGTTCGAAGATGGGGGAAGTTTTTGGGTAAATGGATATTTTGCTCCTTTTATCAACATGGAAAAAATTTAAAAAAAAATAGAAACACATTGTTAAATTTCAGGACTATGTTATCTAGCTTCAAATATTCTAATGAATAACACAAAAATGTCAAAATATCTCCCACGAAAATTTTCAACTTCCAAATCCAAATGGACATTGAATCCTCTTCATTAAATGTTTCCGGAGCCCAAAAAGTTTTTTTGTAATCTATATAAATTACTCATGTTAGATTATTTTAAAAAACACGTTACCTGTTTTTCAAAAAAAATCTTGAATTTTGAAAAATTAAAAGTTTAAAATTTTTTTACCAATTCGAGAATTTGCTTTTCGATTTTTCAAGATTTGATTCTTAACTGGTCATTTCTCTTAAGGTTTTCACAAAAACGGAGACTATGTTGTCTAGCTTCCAAAATTCGAATGAAACATTTTTTCACTTCTGATGTGTCGATTTACAACATTTTTTAAGAATTATAACTTTTTCAGATTGCAAAAGGTTATTCATATTCGAATCTGAAACGAGATCACAATTTTTCAGCTAGCTCAAATTTGAAAATGATTTCCGTATTGAATCATCAAATCATATGATTTGTCCCATTTGACAAGACAATTACAAATAAAGTTTGACAGTCAGTTCAGTTCAAAAAAAATGATATCATTTCCATTTTTCTCCTCTGAACATGAGAAAAATTAGCTGATTGTTTGTTCGTGGAGTCCGTGAGGAATTCGTCATTTAATTGGATAATATGTATGAACGTATGAGGAAATACGGAAAAGCATGGAGATTGAGTCAATTATGAGGCATTTTTGAGAAAAGAAAAAACATGTGAGATGATGAGGAAAGTGCGACGAGAAAGTTGGGGTTTCCCAGAAAATCTTTTTTTTTATTTGAAAAATATTCTCACTGAAATGGTTATGAAATAAATTATGCCAAAAACCCTTTTGAATCATATGATTTTGATTTTTTTCGAAACTTCTCACCTGAACTTGTTCATTTTCACTTTCAAACAATGGGTTTCATCATAAACTTAATCACATCATCACAAAACTAGCCGTTAATAATTCAAAACACGTTAGATCATCATAAAAAGCAAGCCGTTACATCCAAATCCCATTCGGTAAGCCTATATGATTATAGTGTATTTTACCGGTTGGCAAAGATGAACTACAGTACATTTTTTTTTGATGTGTGGAAATTTAAAACATGGTTTTTTATGGAAAAATAAGCTACAATTTTTTTTTCTGAATTTTTCATTTTTCAAAATCTGAATAAAATCTACAAGACCTAGAAAACCTTTGTGGGTATTTCAGAAGGTCGAGAAAATCTAGAAAATGTTTCTGAAGACTTTAGAAAATCTGAAAAAGGAAAAAAGTCTTGGATAACTTGATAACTTTATAAAAAGTTGGAAAAATCCAGAAAAACTTCCAGAATGTTTTAAATGGTCGGGAGAAAATATTGAAACTCTAGAAAAAAAGTTTTAACGTTTCAGAATGCCGTGAATAGTCCAGAAGGCTTTCGAACATTTTCAAATTTTTCAGATGGTCGGAAAAAATCTTGAAACATTTTTGAAAATTTTTTTGAATATTTCAAAAAATTTGTAAATTTTTCAAGAGTTCAGGAAACATTTTTGAAAGTTTCAGAAAGTCGGGGGAAATTCAGAAAATATCACAATTCTCAGAAAATGTTAGTTAGCCTGAAAACTAGACGTACAAAGCCCGGTAGTCCAAAACCCCTCACAGTTTTTGCCAGTATCCTCAGCGGCATCTATCTAGAAACCCTATTGTTTTAACTCAATTCAATTCAATTTTTTTCATTTTTGGTTATTCTTTCTCTCATCCCTCCCGCCAGCCACTGCCTTTTTTTCTATATAATATATATATATACCATCCGATCCAAAATTACTCTCTCACTGCCCAATTCATTCATTCTTTCATTCTTTCACAAAAACCTGCCCTAGGTAGGTAATCCAATGTCTCTTTTTGTCGGTTGCTTCCCCCCTCAAAATGTGTGAGACTGGCTAGTATTTTGAATAGAACAAAGAGGGCGGAGCCTATTTTTTGGGTAGATACTGTGTATTTGTGAGAACTTTGTATCCACCCCGTCATCCTTTTCTCTCTACTTTTTGATGTTTACTGACTTTTTTGTTTTTTTTTTTCTACAAATTTGAATCTGAAAAATTCCGAATTCTTGAAATTTCATTAAATTTCGATTTATTATTCAAAAATATTAGTTTTTTTTTCAAATTAATCATTTATTGTTTTCTCAAGATTCTAATTAGAAATTCAAATATATTCTGGAATTTTCTTTTTCTTTTTGGTTAATTTTTTACAATTTTTTTTTTGAAAATCAATATGTTAAGGCTAGAAAAATCTATAGATTTTTCAATTTAAAGGTTTTCTAGAAAAATTTAAAAAAAAAGAAGTAACCAAATTTTTAAAGGCACATGCTGATTACTTTAGAACCTGCACATCTAACTCAAAATCGATATTCCTGGATGATTTAGTACGCACGGTATTTTTGTGTTTTTCTGTAGTTTTACGATATTTTTCTTTCAGAACGTGACTTATCTGTTTTGGCCCAGCTAATCAGATTTATTTTGATAAAAAATCCCCAGAAATTATCCCCTCAGATTCTTCCCGGATTTCTATCTTCACATTCAGATCTTTTCAAATCTTCTACATATTTTTTCACTCTCTTCACGTTCACATTTCCAAATAATCTACCAGTTTCCTTAATCAACCGTAACCTTTTCAGTTCCACCAACCCTAATCAAAATTCCAGATTCACCAGATCACTAAATGAGGCAATGAAAAACAATGAAAAAACGATTGGCTATGATTTCCTCCTCAAATATTAACCTATTACTATTAATTTCATTTATTTTTCTAACCCAAATCGAATCGCAAGTGACAATTGCCAAAAATACTCAAGGTATATATATATATTCCTAGACAAAGAAAAAATAACTACTTTCAATTATATAATATAATTTGCCCTAATTTCGAAACTTGAACTGACTTGAACCAAAAGTGAAAAAGAAAAAAAAAAGAAACTATATATATATAATAAATAAATATACTTATAATAGGTACATATTTGGATGTCATTCTTTCTAAAGTATCCATCTTCTTTCTTTTTTCTGCCTACCTGCCTGTGGAGACTGTCGGAGACAGAAGTACGGGTAATTATCGTCCTAGAGTTTTGATGGTAATTAAATCTACCTAACCCATCTTTTTTCTTTTTCTCATAGTATCCCCCTCAATATTTTTTGTTTGTTATTTTTATTGTTGAGGGGGAGAGGAAAAGGCAAAAAGATAACCTTCAAATGTAAATGATCCAAGTTGAAAAGGTGTCAAATCGGTTTATGATCTTTCATGGGAAAATGATGTTTTTGAAAAAAAAAAATTGAGAAAAAAGTGGGAATTTTTTCAAATTGAGAATTTTTGAACCAGAAAATGATCGGAAAAAATTTGAATTGAAACCTATTTTTCTGGAAAATTCAAACTTTCTCCAAGCTTTTTCCGATTTTCTCAAAAATTTCGAATTTTTCTACTTTTTTTTTCACAAAAATCGCTGAAAATTTAAAAATTGCCTGGAAAAATCCTCTTTTGATCTACCAGTTTTTTTTCAAACTCTCACTTCCCCAAAAAATGTTCATAGTCAATTTGAGTCAACCGGCAAAAAAATGTTCATCCAGCCGATCAAAAAATATATAAAACAACTCCAATTATTGCTATAACCGACACATACACGGTGTGTTTCAAAAAGTGCAGCAAGGTCAAAAACGGGAACACCAAAAACAAAAATAATTATATGTACATACAAAGGATTGGCATGTTGTTATTAGTGAATTAGAGAATTTAAAGGGTGTTGGGGGTTTTATCTTTCAAAATCATCATTTTTCAGTCACTCCAAGATGTGGCTCTCAACTAATATCGATTGAAATCAATTTTGATCCCACTCAATTACCAGGTGGCAAATTTTATGATTGGATTGTCGTCGGTGTTTCAGGTAACCCTATTTCCCCCCTGATATTCTCATTAGCTTCATTTTTCAATTCCAGGCCGTCCTGAATGTCGACTTCGTGGAAATGGTGAAACCAAATATATTGTAGAAATTGCTGTGTTTAATGATCCATGTCTTACACAAATTCCAGCTCAAAATGTTTTTCAAAATCGTGTTCGAATTGGTAAAAATCCAGTTGTTATACTTGAAGGTGATCAATCGATAACTGTGAAATGTGTTTATGGTTTACCTACTGTTGAAACTTTGGCGATGCCTGTTATTAATCCGAATTTCAATATTGACAAGTGAGTTGATGAAGAAGATGGTGAAGATACCTTATTTAGCCTAACTTATTCAAAGGCGCAGCTCCTCGACAGGTAGGCTGTCAAGGCGCTGCTTCTTTACAACTAGGCTCTAAAGACGGTGCTCCTTGATGATAAATTTTCAAAAAAACCTAGGCAGGCAGTGGGAATTGAACCTGCGACCTCTCAATTGACAATCCCAAACATCCAATTCTATTATTTCAGTCTCGCTCATGCCGGTTTATCTGAAACCTCTTTGACAAGTGCTCAAACAAATTCTTTCTCTTCGGATAATGATCCAAATTCGAACTCGAACTTCAATTTCAATCAGAATCAAAACTTGAACAACAAAAATCAATTCTTCATCTCTCAAACTCAAGCTCCTGAACAACCGCAAGGCGAAGCTAATATAATTCCAAATGGAATGTCATCAACAGATGAAGAAGTCAATAATCAGCCAAGTACAAGTTCGTTCAGTGGATTTGGTGGAGGTGGAAACGAAGGAGGATCAATTCAACAACCACAAACACAATTCACAGCCAATCCAATTCGACCACAAATTCCGATCCGATTAGGAAATGAAGATTTACAATTACATACAGCACTTCCGCCCGATTCTTTCGTTCCTCGTCAACAAAATAATTTCGAAAATGGGGATTTTAGTGAGTTGAAGTTTTTGAAATTGAAAATGAAGCGGATTATATTCAGATGTTAATGCGACAGCTTCCAAACGTCGAAGTTCATTTTCTATTGTGTTCTTGTTGGCGATTATCTTTGCGATTATTTTGATTTTGTTATGCTTGGTTTGTTTATTCTTTTTCTTGCGAAAACGAAGGGAGGAACGAAATAGAAGATTGTTGATTGATGGAGTTTCATGTGAGGAAACTTTTTTTTTTGGAAAATATAGCTGACAATCAAAAATTATTCATTTTTTTCAGCAGCAGATGAAAGTAAACGGACTGAAAGTCAAACTCGTTGGACGGATGCATCAACAGACGGATATGCAAGTCCAGGGTACATATTTTTGAAATTTCTGAATTGGGTCAGGATCAATTTTTTTTTTCAAAACAACTTCGAATTTGGAAAACAAATCCCAATTTCCAAAAATTATGAAATTTGGTTCCCGATTTCTGATAGTTAGAATTTTACTCTAGATGTTGAATTTTGTAGATCATCAGATGATTTCCGATCATTGAAAACCTTGTTATTAAGTAGCTGAGCCAAGAGAACCTAAGTGTATAGGACCTGCCTCTTGAGCGGCACTATAGCTAGCCACGATGCCTTGAGAGATTCTATGCCAAGGAGTCGCGCCTAGAGACATAAATTGTCAAGAAGGCGTGCCTAGAAGGCCACGTTTGAACTCCCAGGCAATCTGAAATCAGACCTGTTCCCATTGAAAATTCACTCATGATCTATTATTTTTCCAGAACTGGAGAGGCTAGACCTGGTAGATCTGCGACAAGTATGTTTGACAAGCGAACTGCTAGAGTTGCAGAATCCCGAGAAGTTCCAATTCCAGTTATTTCTGTGCGCAAAAATCGATCAGATGTAAGTTTTCCTAACTCAATTTTTTCACAAAAAAAACAAATTAAAATTGTTTGCAGAGCGCTGCACATTATTCAAAAGCGGGAAACAATCGACACAACTCAACATCAAGTACAAAAGAGCGCAAAAAATCACCAGCACCATCAGCGCCAGTCATAAAACATTTACCGCCACTCAAATCAAATTTAGAGGAATTTGTCTCGAAAACATATGCGATGGGGGAATATAATGATTTAGCTAGTCCAGCGTATGCTTATACTTCGGAAGTTTATGATGAGAGAGAGGTTGATATTGGATTTGGAACTAATAAATCACAGGTAAAAATAGAGAATGGGAAATTACGAAAAATAAAATAGTATTGAGGAAGTCTTAACTCAGAATATTATCCCATCTGAATGCTTAAATTTCAGCCCCAATTTCAGAAAATAAAGCGTCGACCGCGAGCTGAAATTCAAGACGAATCCGCCGTTTCATCATATCGATCAATAACTGAAATCGTTCATGCAGCAGAAACCACAAATCTAACACCATCAACAATCGCAATGTCTTCAAATGAAAACAAAAGTTCCGATGAAAATAATGAGATGGAACAAGTATTGATTGATTGTGTCTCGACTATTCGAGGTTTCGGTTATCGAAAATTAACCGAGCAGGAAATGGGAAGATGGAAAAATCTAATACAACGCGATAAATATTTGCGAAATTTATTGATTTCGTCAAAAAGTGTAGCTGAAATTGAAGACATTTTCGAAGGCGATGATTATAAAAATATGTTTTCATCTACGAAATGGCATGAAATTGCTCAATGTGTACATCGTGCATTGGTGAGTTTCAAAAAGCGGGTTGGGTTGCACATAGAATAGGCTCCTCAACTTAAAAGTTTTTCAGACAAGCTCTTTGGATCGAACAAATTCCCAATCACAACTTCAATTATTTGTTGGAAATGTTCACAGTGATTGGTGAATAATTTATGAAATACGGGAAAAAACAATTATTTTATGTATTTTTTGGATTCAATCAATATTTTATTTTATTCTATATTATGTTATGCATCTTTCATTTGTATACCTAGTCTGAAATTTATTCATTTTTATGTTTTTTTGGAATTTGTTTTCAGAGAAAAATCGAATAAATTCTATAACTTCTTCAAAGGATTTTTTCTGGAAGCCTCTCAAACATTAATTTGAAAATTTCAAAAAAGTGAAACACCGTGTAAATGGCTTGAAAGTCCGAAAATTTGTCAATGGATTTTTCAAACCAGGAGACTAACTTTTGAATTGAAAATGATTCAAAGAAATTGATTTTTATGTCAGCCTGTACCTCATATTTTCAAGAAGTCTAAAAAAATGCCAAAACAATAAAATTTACTTGAAAAATGCTAACAAACATTATTTTTCACCTGCTTTATTTCACCTAACTTCAAGTAATATAACTTCACTGATATCATTTTTTTCACTCGAAGAAAAGAAATCACCTTGACAACAACTGATACTGCTCCATCCGCCTGGGTAATGTGCTTATTATTTTTTTTGTTGTTGTTATTAATATTTTCTTGAGACTACCGCTACTTTACTTTTTTATTCTTCTTCTTCTAAGTTTCAGAAAATGGCTGATAACGAACTTCGCCAACGCCGCGCCAACACTGAAATTGGAGAAACTCGCAAAAAAGAACGAGCCGCTCGCATTTACAAAATTGAAGGGAAACCTGAACCTAGTGGGTTTTTTGTTTGTTTGTTTGTTCTTACGTTTTAGAATTTTGAAAAATCAATATTTTCAGCAAATTGGTGTTTGATTATATCGATTATTCTATTCGTCTTGTTCATTCTTTTCATCATAGTGAGAACTTGAAAAGATGAAATTGAAAATTGAAAAAAAATTTGAATTTTTCAGATTGATGCTTTTTCACAATTCAGACGAATCAAGTATATTTTTGGAATCGAGAGTGAGTAGATTTGAAATTAGGAGACTTTTTTGTGGAATCAATTATGAGGGAAAAGTTTCTGAAAATTTAATTTTGAAGCTGAAGTGTGAACTTTTTTAGCTAGTAAGAACGCACAATCAGGTGCGATTTTTTGGAAAAAAAATGGTACGAGTTCCACTGAAAACCCTGGTCTATTTCAGACACCGTTAAAATCAAACTCAAAAGTATTCCGAAAAAAAAATTCCCTCTTTTTCAGATTGATCGATGTAAGTTAACAAGGAAAATGACACATTTTGTGATAATAAATAATTTTTAATAAATTTTTCGTTAATTAGAAAATCTTTTATGTACAGAAAGTTAGCAGAAAAAATTCCAGAATTTCTTCAAATTTTAATTTCCATTTTTTTTCAATTGATATGGAATGTTCAACAGTTTTCTGTAGGACTAGGGGCGGTACCCCTAGGCGAAGAAACAGTCAGAAAATCCTCGAAAATTCTAAATTTTGAAGAAAACCCTATTTTTCGCAGCTAAATGTAAGCTGACGTGAGAAAAAAATATTTCTTTAAAAAAGTTACGCCTGGGAATACAAATTGTGAAGTTTAATGAGTCATAGATTATGAAAGAAAAAGAATAAATTCGAAACAAACTAGAAATCGCGTGCATAAAACAATGAAAAAATTAATCTACCTATGAAATATTTCATAGTTTGTTTTTCAATAAACTTTGGAAGCTGATCCTAGCTTCAAGTGTAATTCAGAGCTCCATCTAATGATTCAAACATAGTAATTTATAAACAACTTTCCTTAAACATCAATAGTAATTATGAATGAAAAACTTTACGCAATATTTTTCAATGAAGCTCAAATCTCACCTGTTAGTTTTGTTCCCCCCCTCCCTCAAACCTCAAAATAAACTAACTTGACTGGCCTGTTCCGTGAAAAGTTGTTGATTTCTTCGAATGTCCTGTCCAAACGAAACATCTTCTTGATCGGAAGCCTGAAACTTCTACATTCTTTTTTTAACATTTTCGCCTATTCTTAAACTTACATCAGAAAATGACAATTGTGGATTTTATGATACCCCTGCATTCTGTGACGATTGTCTCTGAAAAAATAAGAAACATCAAGAAATGTACCTTTCTGCGCTGAGAAAAAACAGAAAAATGATTCAGTTCAAAAAAAACGTTCAATCAATAATGTCTTTTCAAATAACATATGTATATGTATATATCTCTCTCTCTCTCTCTCTCTCTCTAACTCTCTCTCCATTTCCCACACTTTCTCATCTACGCTGACAAAAAAACAACAAAATAAACACGTTAAACAACGCGCACGCGGAGTATCGTTGTGTTTCTTTTATTTTTTTTTTGCACGACATTTTTATTTTTTGCTGGTTTTCAGGGGTTTTTTCAGCGTATAAAAAGTTATTAATAGGCTGATTTGGTACATTTTTTAATTCTCTTATTTTAATTCTCTTATTTTTTAATTTCTCTTATAGTCACAAGCGGTCCCATCCATAAAATCCACAATTTCCATTTTTTGATGTAAGTTTAAGAATAGGCGAACATTTTGAGAAAAAAAAAATGTAGAAGTTTCAGGCTTCCGAACAAGAAGATGTTACGTTTGGACAGGACATTCGAAGAGATCAACAACTTTTCACGGAACGGGCCAGTCAAGTTAGTTTATTTTGAGGTTTGGGGGGGGGACTAACAGGTGAGATTTGAGATTCATTGAAAACTATTGGGTAAAGTTTTTTATTCATAATTACTATTGATGTTAGAGGAAAGTTGTTTATGAATTACTTTGTTTGAATCATTAGATGAAGCTTTGAATTACACTTGAAGCTACACGCGTGGTGTAGTGGGGAAGAGCTCTGTCTTCTATTCAACCCGCCTAATTTTGTGGGTTCGAGTTCCACTGCTCGCTGTTTTGTCCCGTTTATATCCGGTAACGCATATTTTCGGAAAAAATATTTCTGAAGGAATTGTACACTGGGCGATTTTGTTGAATGGTAGAAAATTTAAAAAATTTTCAGATCCTCTAGGTTATTCTAGAGGATCTAGAGGATCGGTTTTTTCTATTTTTCTGGGTAGGTTAAAGCGGACAGACAAAAGAGCACAAAACCCCTGATCCAATTTTTCTTTCCTCAATTTCCCCCATTTTCTGCCACAAACCAGGCGCGTTTGTTAAAAGTGCAATTAGTTGTGTAAATTTTAATCAAATTTGGTGCAGATTATCCGTCGGAGAAAAGTAAAAAAAAAGACACATTGCTATTGCCCTCTTTGGTCGCCTCCGTCCAAATTATATTATGTGTGTTCTTTTTGAATTCTACGTAAAATGTGCACTTTTCTCACAATTTTTTTATTTATTTTTCATTGCGGTTGCTGAGAAAATGATGGAAAAAAACATTTTTTTTTGTGGTTTTTGAAAAGCTCAATTCTGGGCCTGGGAAATTTTCTAGATATTGATCCAATAAAAAATTGGGCTATAAATTCAGATAGCCTAATTCTAGGCAGGCTACATTTTAGCCTGGTGATGTCGAGATTCCTGAGACCTGTAGAAAAATTTAGATATTTAGCCCTGAACTTGTACCTGGTCCGCTTTCTGAAAAAATTAGGTGTTTAAATATTCTAGCAAGGCCTAATAGGCCCTGATATCTTGAAAAAAATAGTCCGAACACCAATTCCAAAACCTACAGGTTCACTTTTCCACAATTTCCAAATGTAAGTTCTCTAAATTACTTTTTGCACTTTATTTGAACAGTTTTAAATTGGGTTTCGTTTTCAATCTCAGAAATTGTTCCGATGATTACTTTTCCCTTTTTTTTGCGGTGTGGTCCAAAATTGGAATTTTTTTCGCTTTGGTTTGTTTGAAAATGAAATTTCTTCCATCTATTTCGAATTGAATTGAATTTGAAATAAAAATGAGAGGAAAGTAAGAAAAGAAGAAGAAGAAGAAGTTTGCCGCATCCGGCGGGAAGACTCATGACATCACTCGACATCCGTATGTTTTTGTGACACACACACATAGATAGATAGATAGATAGATAGATAGATAGAGGCCAGTCAGAAGCATCCCACTTTTTTTTGTTCAGTAACAATTTTTTTCATTCATTCATTCATTTTTTTGCTTCGTTTTTTTCTCCACCCTAGAAGAGTCGAGCGCACGCAAAAAACATAAAAACAACAACCAACCACAAAAATTTAATCGCGATGCCTCTGGGCATAACTGCGTGTGCCCGTTTCAAATTTTTATGGGTGGTTAGGGTGGCTGCTGATTTTTTTTGTGTTGGTGTTTTTCAGAGCTGAGATGTGGGTCATTTTTTACTGATTTTTTGGGCTTAGTGCCACTATAGAGCCGTGAAACTCCGTGAAAAATGGTTTTAAATTGCAGATCTACAGTAATTTGTAGCTGTGTTTTCCGATTTTTTTTTTGAAAATTTGTCAATTTTGTCAGTTTTTTTTGACCAGGAGACTAACTTTTGAATTGAAATTGATTAGAATAAATTGATTTTTATGTCAGACTCCGCTTTTAACAAAGCAACCTTTGATTTTAAATTTTTTAAAGTCCTGAATTTAGTTCCGATAGTTCACGACATGTAAGATTTTGAAAAATCTCCAATCTGAGAGAGAGAGAGAGAGACGCAGAGAAACCGAAAATTTTCAGCTTAATATTTTTTACCGTTGAAAATGTAAGTCAAAAATTCATCGAACATTGAAACTGTTAATTTTGTATTTTTTTCTCTGCGTCTCTGCCTCGCTCTCTCTCTCTCTCTCTCTCTCTTTGAGTTATTGTAATTCGAAAATTGCTCCGTATCTTATCATCAGCCAACACTGGTTTTTATGAAAATCTGAATTAATATTAGAAAATATTCAGAATACAAGAGTTACCTGAAGTTCATCAATAATTTGAATTTTTAGGAGAATTTTTGAAACTTGAAACAAAAATTTTAAAAAAGAGTTTTTTTCTGATTTCCATGTGTTCTCTTTCTTGGTTTTCTGGTCTATAACTAAATGTAAGAAGGAAAAAAATAAACAAGGCAAAAAAATTGACAGCTACTTGTCCACTCATTTTTTGGAAGGGGAGAGCTCTTTTACTACTATTTTGTCTGTTTCGTTTTTGTGTGTCACTCCACTCCTCTTCAATTTTTCTTCGTATATATTTTGATTGATCTCATATTTTTTTCAAAAAAAAAAAGATTCGCTTTTTTGTTTGGCATTTTTTTTCGAAATTATGTAATTTCAAATTGAGAATTTCTACAGAGCTTCAAGTTTTCCAAAAAAAATTTTTAGAACGTTTTTTGTTTGAATACCCTTTTGCCATGAAAACCAATTTCGAAAAAATATTCACAATGACGCAATTGTTCTTTGAGAAATCTCATTTGTTCTCAAAGATACATCAGATTCTGATTGTTCTATGGTTTTTTGAGATGACTGAATGTGAGCAAAAAATTTCAATTGCGAATTGAGATGATTTCAAGAATACTTACGAGAAATATGTATGTAAGTAGAAAATGGAGAATCATAAGATTGGAAATATTTTGAAATCTGTTCCCAGCAATTTTCGGACTTGGTTGAATTTCGAAAAAATAAAAATTGACAGAGAAAATTTCTCGAAACTACTGTGAACTTTCAAGCCATTTTACACGGCGTTTCACAGTTTTTTGAGTTTTGAAATTCTCAGCTAATGTTTAAGAAGATTCCAGAAAAATATTTTCGAGTCTTGTTTCAAATGAGCATAACTTATTTTTTCGTATTCTCCAGGTGGGATCTTCATAAAGAAGTTATCAATAGGCTGAAGTTCAAAAAACGTTCTACAGTTACGAGAACTTCTCCAAAAATGTAAATTCTAGATCCGCAAACAATAAGATTTTTGATCTACAAACCAAATTCTGATCGTTCTTTGTTTCATTCTCAAAATACCCAAGCCTGCAAAAAATTTCATTTACCCAATTGAAATGTCTCAAGAATACCCATCATAAGTACCAAGAAGAAGAAAAATTGAGCAACCATTTTCATTTTCAGTCAGTCAGTATTGTTGTTTTGCCATCGTCGTCGGTCGTCGTCGTTATTTGTTGCTCTCGCCCATTTTGTGTCTATCGTTTTGTTGCGTTTTCTTCGAAGGCTTCGTTTTTTCCTCTAGCCTCAAGGCATCACGATCGAATCTACTTCATTCCTTCATTCATTCATTCATTCACTCATTCATTCATTCATTTTCCTTCATTCTTTCTTCTAATTTGTTTATTTCCCTTTTTTACACAAA